AAGCAGGTTACAAATAAAATTGGAAACACGAATGTATCAGCTCCATATTTCAATATTTTTTAATATTTCCAGAATTTTTATAAATTTCTTCAATGTTTCGCAACAGACGTCATTCTGTGTCCAGACCTTCTAATTCACTATCATTTATTAAATTTGGAAATATCATTGAAACATCAGAAATAGATTGTAGGGAACCTGATTTCACTATTGCAGGATCCATAAAACATAGTTTTACCATATTTATGATCTATATGGCGGGCTTGATTCATTTTATGTTTGAAAACAAACTCTAAAATACGAGGTGTGCTAAAATAAAATGTCTGCTATTGCCAACGTACTTTGATCATGAATGGAAATATGTTATATTATTTTAAGTAATCCACGGACATTTTTTCAACTTTTATTTGTTACTTTTCGGTAGAAATCTGCATGGTATCGCTAGATCGGTAGGTTCCTTGACAAATCGGTAGATCTACCGAAAAATCGGTAGACCTGGCATCTCTGCTGGTCGCGTTGCTGCGAAAGATCATGTGACATAAAATTCGATAATCATGAAGATAGGAACCTAAACCCAAAAAGCGGAGGTGCCATAGTGATTCTCTGATTAACTGACAGACGATTAGTTTGCGACGATGCAACACATTTTTTTTGTGTTTAAAGCGAAAACGGTGCAACCGGGGGTTAAACGCTTAGAACGGTCAGATGTTCGAACACCTCTTTGCGCGTGCAGCTGAGTTGCGCACATAACCTATTATAAAAGGTATTGTTAACATTCGTTTGAACAGGTCACCCTAACCTATTTCATGGTCACTGTCATTTTCTGCGTTTATCTGTGGTTATTTGAGCTTTTGACGGTTAAGGAGTTAATTGTTGCAAAAGTTCCGATCTGGTTTTTTGCAAAWATCTTTCTTGAAWGRWWAGAAAGCGATGGGATTTTTCACGATTTGTTCAGAAAAAGTTTTCCTCCTTCCAAGCTCCTTCAAATGAAGACATTTTTTCAAGCATAGGACGAATTGATAATGGCCGCAGTATACTCGGGGGAAGAATCCGAAAATACCCCTTTCGGAGCACGTGCTCCAGCCCAATAATGAGAAGGCAATTTTAGACGGGGCTGTACGTACGTTATCAATTGACATGTGCTGAATGTTGATGTAGTACGCGCGTAACACGTCTATTGTCAGGGAAAGTTTCCCGACTGTATCGGGGAAACTATTCGGAGAAACTTTGCACAAACTTTAATGTAATGACAAAGCGAAAGTTGAAGAAACACCAGAAACTCGCCTGGAGATGATAGTTTCTGTTTCCATCCAGTGGTGAAGGCGGTTTGATTAAAAACACCTTCCATTCTTCACGGCAAAATCAATTGTAAAGTTTTTGCATCGGCCACACACCAAAAGGCAAATGTTGCAAGTCCCCCACTGGCAGGATGGAAACCTGCACCCAAGTCGTAAAACCCAGTGGCGGCACACCAAACCTTTCCACCCCCCAGATAAGTCGCTTGTTTATGAGGGCTGTTCCGGAGGGGTTAGTGGCCGGCAGCCCCCCGATTTTAGGGGGTTGTTTCACGGATTGCCAACTCGATAAATGTTTCTTTGACTCGCACAGCGAATGCTTTTTTCGAAAACTCGCCTTAAACGCAAAGCGCACTAGACTGAAGTGGACGAAGGAAAATCCCTATTGATTTCGGAATTGGAAGGTTTCATTGTTTCAGTTTCTATTCGTTGATTGCTTGAAAGCGATGGGATTTTTCACGATTTGTTCAGAAAAAGTGAAGTGTTATCAAAAAAAGGCCTTTAGAGTTCGCATCGGGTTTGGTTAGATGTTTCAAAATTCCAAAGAGTTTCACTACAGTCAAGCGATCAGTGAGTTTTGCACTAATTTTGTATGAAAACTGTTTCAATTGGAAATTTTTTCACATTTTTTTGGGGAGAATGTAGTCACGTGAATTTTATTAAACGTTACAGCGAGCGCTGGAAAACCAATGATTTGTGCCAACTTGAGTTTGCGCAGGACATTTCCAAAATTGTTCCGTGCGAAGGACCAGTGACTTGGACGACACGCTCGCCTGATCTGAATCCTATAACAAATTTTTGTTGGGAATTTTAATGATTTTTTCATTGCACGAAAAACACTTTCGAAATGGACTTGAAACAACATGTTGCGCGAAGGATGCCGATTCACAGAACATGTTTGTATCACGTAGAAACTCTATTCTGTTCTATTGACTCCCGAAGTTATCGAGATTAAACGCGAATCACCCTGTACTGAACCCCCCAGTAATCACCTACGGTCATAAATGTATTTTCCCAAACTAATAAACCTGTTCGCCGTCTGGAAAAATAAAGAAAGCCTCACGATGGGACGGTTGCAACTTAATTACTCCTCCCAGCTTCCTTTCGCCCGCATTTTCTCTATTCGATAATAACTCGGTTTATATAATAAAAAATGTTTTATGGAAGCCGAAAGTCGTAAAAGAAAGCCGACTTTAGACAAATTGTCCGATAAAAACAGAGTTTTGGATGCACCGCGAAGGAAAGTCACAAAACACTTACATTCAATGAGGATGGAAACTGGTGAACTGTGGACGGTCTTGTATTTTCCCGTGATGTGTTCAGCTTGACAAACCAATGGGCCTGCATCACGTTCCCTGTCCACCCTGGTGATGTGCAAGTTGCTGCCTTGCATGAAACGTCGCGTAGTGTTCTCCAATGTGAAGCCTGGAACAGCCACACAAGTTTAAACGCGTTTTTTTTTAAGAAATGTGGCTCTACTTAGGGCAGACCGACCCGTAATTCTCAAGTCTTATTTGATTTTCGCCGATAAATCATCAGCTGGCGCCCATTTTCCACTTTTAATTGCCCGAAGATTAATAGCATCCAACTCGGTAATTAAACGGAGTTGGAACAAATAAAAATGCAGCAAACACATTAGTTCATCGTTTAAAGAGCAGGTAGCAAGGTGTTGTTTGGGGCAAAATTCAAGTTTAAATCGACAATGAACTCACCATCCCGTGTCCAGAGGTAGACGATTCCATCGTCAGGTGTCGCTTTGCAGGGCAGGGTTACTGATGCGCCCTCAACAGCCGAAACGTCTTTGGGGCTCTTCGTAAACACCAATTTATCTTCTCGGCAACTGATCAAACCAAATCCTGGAAAATTCGCAATTGTTTAGTTGTGTTCAAATTACACATTCACTTAGACAGTTGTTGATCTTGACTGTATTTTATACAGGGGGATTTCGAAATCACTTGGGGGAGTACGCGAAAAATACTGAAAAATGCATATTTCTTTAATTTCAAGGTAAAAGTTAAAAAAATCAGAACAAATATTGGTGTTTTTCATCTTGATCCTTCCAGTACATTGAGCAATATCTGCAAAATTACTGGTTGACCTTTATGGGGGCTCTCATTATGGGTTCGTTAGAAACAGCATTCCGATTTCCTATAGAGAAAAGCCCCGCGGAAGAATTTACCAGCCGCAGAATGTAGAGAACAAAAAAATAAGTACTGGCGGTCATTCATTAGCATTTTAGCATGGCAGACAAACAAATTGATGTAGAAAACGGTTCGGGCTTTTTGCCTGCTCGCCCAGGTACTGGCCTGCATTGATCTGTTTGTGCGATCGCTATTGAAACAAGTCGTAGCCAATGATTTAAATCGGGCTAAAGTACTGGGCGGCTTGAAAGGTTGTTCGAAGCAATTGAACAGTTAGTACTTGAGTTAATAGGATTATTTCTCAATCAGCATGGGGCACTTTAGCGTCTCCAACTTTGTGCATAGTTCAGGAAAAAATGGTTATCTGGATTAATGACCGGTTAAACCGCAGTTCAACCGGTTGAAATCGGTCACAAAATGAAGCAATTTTTATTAAAAAAGGGTTATTTTTGGGAGACTGGCAGTGAATTTGTTCCCATGAATAAAATCGCTTATTGATTTTTTTAACGATTGATACGACAACGTTTTTCGTGGTCTCGTAAACTCCTTAGAATTAAATTCAAAGTGGCATTTTGGAATTTTACATCATTTCAAATTTGCGTTTAAGAAAATCTATTTTTTTTGTTTTTCATGGGAAAAAATGTGAAAAACTGCAAAAGTTGCAACGGAAATATGGAGATTTTTTAGAACATCACGCTGCGCCATGAACAATGTGCTCATCTTATGCAAACTCCCTCTGCCTACGACTTTTCTCAGTGGTTTTTCTAGGGAAAATGCGAGTTTCGACCACTTTTCGTTCATTTTCGATAATATAACAAAGGTGTCTGTGAAACCGTTCGAGTGAAAACCGTCACTGTGACACAGAACGGAACATTTCGCGAGTTTGCCAAATCTACGTTTTGTTTGTACTTGATTTTTTCGTAGACCAGTTCTGTAGTTTTTCGTTTAATTTCTTCAGTTTCTATTAGTTTTGGTTGGTATAGATAAGATTGAATAACTGCGGTTTTTTTTGATAATGTGAAGCAGCCACTTTCACCAAATTTGCGGAGATTTGCTTCTTTGGTGAACATTTGGCGACATGTTAAAAGTATTGAATTTTTGATTGAAAAACGCACTTTTACACCAGCAGAAGAAACCACGCGCAAAAGTTGTTAATAAAATTTTGTCGCCCTGTTTATCGGGAACTACGCTTTTGAACCACCGCGTATATTCATGGACTTTGGGAATATATGTGGCAACCTTGACAACCGTGTGCAGACTGGACTGAAGTCATATTGCAAATTTTGACACATCAACAACAACAGAGTGTCAACAAATGGTTTCTTGGACGCATATTTCGAGTAAAATCGACTGAAAAAAATGCTTTTCTAATTCGAATTCCGCCTTTAAAAAAACCAAACCACCCCAATAATAAAAAAAAATTGACTCAATCGCATTGATAAATAAAATAAATATCTGAAACACATTAAGCAGCAGAAGATTAATTCACCTAAGATGCTGGCAACAATCAAACATCCCTTGGTTCCAGCCATTGTTCCAACAGGTCAGAATCATCCAAAGTGATCGAATCGATTCACTACCCGTCACTAAACCGTATCTATCGGGTTTCACGCAAAATTCACCATAGTTTTTTAGTAACTCAAAGTTTAATTCACGGCGTCGCTCGAAGGACCAAAACAACGTCCTAAACACAACGCGCCAAGCATCAAACTGGCCTTAATACAATTCGGTATCAGCCGGCAAGTTCAGCGGCCGGCATTTGTTTTGAAGCCAAAGGGCCTCCGAAGTGGTCCGGAGATTGCCGATTCGCTCGGGAAAAATGGCGAATGTCACTAAATGTCTGGGTTTTGTCTGTATTTGTGTGTGACACTGGTAAAATAGGGTTATATGGATATTTTCCGATCGGTTAATCTCAGACAGTAATCAAGAGTTTAAAGAGTTTTCTAGGGAAGTTTCAAACACTTTTTCGTTTCCGAGAGTGTTTTTTGGATTAGTGCGAGCACTGTCAGGCACCGTTGGTGGAAAACTTCGACCCAGACAGTACAGTTTAGCGGCTTTCGCCTAGATGGCCCCTCTAGTGTTGATTGCACCATGTTAATTAAGATTATTATTAGCAATTATTAACAGCATAGAAGAATCTAGAATAACTCCGAAGGTCAGTTATTTACTGTATCCCAATTCTGTAAAGTTTTGTCTGCGATTTTCGAATAATCTCAAGCAGAAAATTAAAGGGCGTTATGTCAGTTCTTGACGTTTCGGTGGCCTCCTATTCGCTAGTTGAATTACCGATGGTGACGCTGCGAAACGTCAAATTACTCGTTGTCGAGTGCCAGTTGAGACTTGTCAAACTTGTTTTGGAGTTGATGACATTTATAACACCAAACAATACTTACACACTTCGATCTGTTTCTATTTCTTTAAAAGCTTGCAAAACTTGATGAAACAAAACAAATTACAATAAGATGTAAACGCAAATGTGACACCAATGTCAACAAAACAAGTGTCAAATTACTACTTAACTTATTAAGTTATAAGTTTAACCACCAGGGGGCGCCTCTCTTTTTCTCGGTCTATGAAGTTTTTTATTTGACTTAAAACTGTATTAATTCGTTTATAATGATTTGTGATGAATTTTGAATATAAAAAAATACAGTTTGGAAATCTCTCATAAAAACACTTACTGATAATTTAAAACACTTGGAATTAAAAAAAAAATCGATTTTCACCCTTAGAAATTTTCGGTCAATAATCAAAATTTCCCGCATAAAAATCCCATAAAATCGCCCGAAAATCCCGATTATTCCAGGCCTGACGGTTCTACTGGATTTTTCAATAAGTTTGTTGCATTCCCCGCTTTCGTATGGCGAAGAAATGAAGAATTTGAGGAATTTTGAAACACTTCAAATATAAATTTTTGGTTAAAGATCAGAATTTCACTTTCTTTTTTTTTTTGGTTCAACACATTGTTTCCAATCAAATGAGCTCCCAATGTGCATATACAGTTCAGGTTAAGAACTTACCACCTTTGAAAAATATAAATTTTCATTGTTCTGCTATACCGGGTGTGAAGAGAAACCGATAAATAAAAGTCATAAAATATTATAAAGGAACGATTTATTGGTTTTTGGTGGATTAATTGAAAATGCTAAAATTTAACGGTGAAATTATGTTCGGTTTCAGTTTAATAATGGGTGAAATCGTCATTATTCATTTAATAAGCGTTAGTGATTAATGAAGTTTTGTAAAAATAATAATTCAATTTTGTATTTTTAGCAATGACAATCTGTAGGAACCGATATTTTATCCTTTAACGGATGGTTAATAAAATAATTAATTGTTTTTATAAAAATATGCCAAACTGTTCTGTTTTGAAATACAAAATTTATTTTTGAATTTAATTTTCACTCGGTATCGCAGAATAATGAAAATAGGTAGATATTTTTGTTATTTTTAGGCCATTCTAAGTGAAAATTGGTGGTAATTTTTTCGAAAACATTGACTTAATGGTACGTTTCGATATTTGACTAGGTATATGAAAGTTTACGTTGTTAGCCATGATTCCAGATAGAAATTAAGAGGCAGCACCAGTCGAATAAGTATTTTGAATATTTAAATAACAAAAATAGAATCAATAAAATCGGACATAAAGATTTTACAAATGTTGTACGTTTTTAACCCAGGTAAACTGCATAAAGTGGATCTGATTATTCTAGCGGAGTTTTCAATGAGTTTGCTGCATTTCTGGCTTTTTTTTAGGGAAAAGAATCGAGAATTTTTGCAATTTTGGGAAAAAAATGTGATTTTTGTGTTTTTTGAGTTCAGTAAGTTTTTTCGACCTCCAAAGCTTTCAAATGTGCACATATAAAGTGTTTGGCTTTATAATAAGGAAAATCTCCTCGGTTAAAAAGCGTGACCGCTCAAAAGTTGCATAAGATCGGATGAAAATCGTGGATCTGACTATTCTAGCGGAGTTTTCAATGAGTTTGCTGCATTCCTGGCTTTCTTTTGGGGAAAAGAATCGATAATTTTTGTAATTTTGGGGAAAAAATGTGATTTTCGTGTTTTTTGAGTTCAGCAAGTTTTTTTCGACCTCAAAAGCTTTCAAATGTGCACATGTAAAGTGTTTGGATTTATAATAAGGAAAATATCCTCGGTTAAAAAGCGTGACCGCTTAAAAATTGCATAAGATCGGATGAAAATCGTGGATCTGACTATTCTAGCAGAGTTTTCGATGAGTTTGCTGCATTCCTGGCTTTCTTTTAGGGAAAAGAATCGAGAATTTTTGTAATTTTGGGAAAAAATGTGATTTTTGTGTTTTTTGAGTTCAGCAAGTTTTTTTCGACCTCAAAAGCTTTGAAATGTGCACATGTAAAGTGTTTGGAATTATAATAAGGAAAATCTCCTCGGTTAAAAAGCGTGACCGCTCAAAAATTGCATAAGATCGGATGAAAATCGTGGATCCGACTATTCTAGCGGAGTTTTCAATGAGTTTGCTGCATTCCTCGCTTTCTTTTGGGGAAAAGAATGGGGAATTTGACAAATTTTGAGACACTGGATGTTTTTTCATAAAATTCTTCTTCCACTTCCACAGCTAAGAAATTTTCGGTGAAAAATCAAAATTTGACTTGCGTGTGTTTTGTGTTCAATACATTTTTGCCGCTCTCAAAAGCGTCTCAAAATGAATATAAAGTGTTTGAATCTAATAAAGTAGATATTGTCAGTTAAATATGGTTACCGTTCAAAAATAGCTAAAAACCGCCCAACGATCTCGATAATTTCGAATCTGACGCTTTTGGTGCCCTTTTCAATAAGTTCACTGCGTTCTTTCCTTCCGTTTGTTGAAAATTAAGTAGAATTCCAGGCCTTTTGAGCAGCTATAAATATTTCGTAAGATCTGCCCCATGTGATCATTTGCGACAATAATCAGTCAATAAACTATTTTCAAAATAATGCCAGTTTTTAAATGCGCAAAGTATTTCAACAATTAGGAAATTTGAAGTAAATATTGGAACATTTGAAATCGAATTCGTCGAATAAGAGCGTGACAGCCATTAGACACTAATCTTGCAACGATTCCCGACTTTTTCGAGCATTCTTAAGCAAAACTGAACAACGATTATGCAAACGTTTTATTATAAAATTCCTCTGTAGGATATCGGATTCGTTTGTTTTGTTGTTGCATTTCTAAACCGGCCACAAAGACTATTGGAGCAAAACCATCACCGGTTTTTTTCCCTTTATTTGGTTTCTTGTGGGTTTTTGCAATTCAATTATCGACGTTTGCTTATTAAATTGCGCTCGGAAAAAAATCAGTCCAGTTATACACCTGAAGTTAATAAACTGGATATGCGATTGTCATGAATTGCGTCCTCTCACCGCAATCGATGATTATAGAAGTCAACGTTCCGCAATTTAGCCTAGTTACTGGTCATTGACAAGTCGCATGTAATTACAAAATTTTAATGAGGAAAGAACTGCGGCAAAATATTAATAAATTGCTTTCGTCTCTAGATAGCTTTCAAATGCTTTTTATGGATTTCCTATTTGCAATGCAGGCTGAATTAAACCAAGTGCTGTTTTTAAATTAACTTTATTTTTAACAGTCATAACAAACAACAACGTAACATAATAGGGCTTAGGAACTAGTTGGAAACATTTTACAACAACGTTTTTTTTTAACAAATGTCAAAAAATTTGCATATCACACTCCAAAACTGGATTAAATAGTAGGGGATTAGAAGAAAGGTACAATTTGATCTTCCTGCTGACGATTTGTCGCTCGAGATTTAAAGGCCATATTTAGTTGTGGTAATAACAGTTTCTAATGCAAATTACTAAGCTAATTTGAACAGTCAAATGGCAAAGCATTGTCACTCTCCATTGACGATTTTACCATTTGCCCATCGTTGCCCTACACTATTAAACTTAACCATTGCCCATTGTCCAGTTGAGATAATAAATAATTGCCGCCATTCAACCTGAATCGTTCAGAAAAATACAACCTTAAAATCCCCCAGTTCGCCCGAAATCATTGCAACATTCGGTTTAGTTTAGAATTGAAATGGGACTTAAGCAAAGCCAGACGCGGCATCAAAATCTTTTTCAAACTCTGTCTTTTCTACCATGTACCTGGGCAAGGTGGTTCCATACAGTTTACTGAAAACTGGTTTGGTTTCGTGGCTGTAGGCGCCTTCTTCGTCATCAACGTCGATTTCTTTCGGCGCCTCTGGCTCCTCAGCGTCCTGCTTCTTGGCGCCTTCTTCCTCCTGCAGTCTTTCTGAGTCAGGAGCGCTTCCCGAAGCCCTCGAGTCCTTGATGGTCTGCTTCACGTATCTGAAAATCCACGTGTGTTAAACATTGGAGCTAGATACTTCTAGCTGAAAAGTTCACTTTTTCTTTTCCTTTTCGAATGGTACTACCACTGATTCCTGGATGCCTGAAGCCGCAGCGGTAAGCTCAACATTAGACAAAGCTTGAGGATTGGTGATCACTTTTTTAAAGAACTTCTTCCTCTTGCTGGTTTCGGAGGCCTGCGGCTGCAGCAGGTCTGCAACGGACTGGGGCGTGGAAGCAATGGTTTCGACCTTCTTGGACTCTTCTTCATTTTCCGATTCGTCCAGCGCGAAGGGCTGGTGCTCGCCTTTGGGGTCCTTTAGCCGCTGCACTTCGTGATAAGCGATGTGAGTGGGCTTGGGCTTGCTTTCGGCAATGTACATGCATTCTTCATGTTGCACTTTGTTCTGGTCAACGCAAAGGAAGCAGGTCATGCCATTCTTCTCCGCCTTTTTGCAGTTGGAGCGGTCCTTCTTGGCGAATTCGGCTAGAACCTGCAGAAAATTCGGTAAAAATGTGCGGAAGGTTTATAGGAACTTGGTACCTCTTCCACGTCGTGCTGCTTTTGCTCAGATGGCTCAGTTACCTGCTCCTCCGTTCTCGACTCGGCGTTTTCATTGTTCAGCTCGGGGAAGAGTTTGTAGTGGTACTCGTCAAAGTTGTAGTCATCACTGTCTGAAGCCTTCTCCTTGTTTATGCTCTCTGCAAAGTGCTCAGGTACATCGTAGGGGTCATCGTCAACCAGTTTCTTGTCCTTTTTCAGTTCCCCATAGTTGAAGTACGAGGGTCCATAGAGATCCTCCTCTGCTTGCTTCTCTTTCTTCTTGGTTTCGGCGTCGTCAGATTCTTCCTCGCTCGACGACTCGTCATCGTCTTCTTCAGTTTCAGCGCCTCCAGTGGCGTCGATGGTGGTGCCAGCTGCGGTCAGTTCTGGAATGGGGCCAGTTGCGCTCTTCGCCGCTGATCCAGCTATGGATTTATCCGGGCTGGGTCTTATTTGGCTCTTGGTGGCCGAAGCTGCCACGGCCAGTTCAGGAATGGGGCTTTTGACGATCTGACTGGAGATTTCCGAAGCGGCAACTGCCAGTTCAGGTGTCGCGTCTTTTTCGATTTTGCTTTTAGTTGCTGACGAGAATTTCTCCTCGGGGGCTTCAGCGCTTTGGGGAACCGGCGCTGATGAGGAGCCTTTCTGCGGGTCTTCTTCGCTCTCTTCTTCGCCTCCTTCGTTCGCTTTGGTGACCACTTTTGATTCTTCTGGGTTGTCGTCGTTGTCGCTGTCGTACTTCTTCTCGGCCACGTAGGCGTATGTTTGGCCTTTGGGGGCCGATGTGTATGAGCACTGCTCGAAATTGCCGCCAGTTTTCGGGTCTTTGCATACCGTGCAGGTCATTCCATCGCGGTCGACTTTCGTGCACGCCCCCGGCTGTTTGAGCAGTTCGGAGCTTTGCGACTCTGAGTAGCTTTCGTATTCTTCTGGGCCGAAGGGCTCGTAGTTGTAGTCCTTTTCCCGTTCACTCTGAGCCGCTTCGTGGTCTTTTTCGTAGTCCTCGAAGTATTTTCGGTTGCGCTCCGACACTATGTAGTAAGGGTCGTCTTTGTAGCTGTCCTTTTCTGAGCTTCTCTTGTTCCTTAGGAAGCTTGCTGGCGCTTTCACTGGGGTTGAGTACCGGATGGAGCTTCCAGCGTATTGGTTAACGGGCTGTTCGCTGGACGTGTACGAGCACTGAGTGTATTTGGCTTTGTTCACGGCGTTTTCACAGACAAAGCAGTTCATGCCGTCGGCGTTTTCTGGTCCCTCGATTTTCCTGCAGTCTGCAAGAGAGTCAGCAATCAAACATAGTCAAGGTGAGCTTTGGAGCACCGACCTTTGTTCTGGGTGCTTTCCGCCTTGTTGGAGGACGCAGTCCCCCCATCCTGGTCTTCTCCGTTTAAGTGGGCGCTTTCTGAGTTCTTCAAGGGGCTTCGAGTGGTGGCCACCGATTCGAAGTACTTTGACTGCAAAGCTTCGTAGTTGGAAGCGGCAGGTTCGAAGCCGTACTGCTCATAAGGGCTCAGCGTGGAAGTTGGCACCTTGCGGCTGGCAACGTAGCTGGCTGCTGGATGTTGGGACACTGAAGATGAAGACTTTCCAGTGTTGTAGTCGATGTTCTTAATTCCATAGTAGGTTAGTGGGTCGAGCTTGGATTGCTCAGCTTGGCCCTCGGATTTGGTCAATGGCTCGTACGTTCCGTAGCCGTGGAAGATTTCGTAGTCTGGAGCGCTGCTGGAGGCCTGCATTTGGCCCGTTTTACTCTGCTGATCTCTGGGCCTAATTATGTTACTTACCTTGACTTTCTTCTTCTTATGCTTGCCTTTCAAGGGCGGAGGGATGGTTTCGACATCGTCTTTGCTCTGAGCGCGCTCCTCGTTGCCGTAAACATCCGGAACGGGGATTTGGTGGCTATCGTAGTACGGGCCCGGATTCACATCGTCTTCTTCAGCCTTGCGCGCCTTTTTGCTTTCCTCGAAATAGTCCTTGTGCAAAGGATTGTCTTCGGAAGCTTCCTCTTTATCGTCCTCATCAAATCCTTCGAAAGGATCCGCTTCCGCTTTGGGCGAGGCTGCGAATGATTGCGGCGATTTCGACTCTTTGCCGCTTTGCTCACCAAATCCTTCTGCAAGTTCCCAATTAAGGCCATAAATTGGCGCTGCAACTGCTACTTACGAAGGGGTGAACTGAAGAAGGCTTCGAACTCAGCAGGATTCACGAAGCCATAGTAGTTCGACTTTTTCTCGTCGTTATTGGAAGCGGATGGTTGGCTTTCCTCGAACAGTTTGATGTAGTCGGGCTCTTTTTGCTTGTCGGAATACCCGGAGTAATGGTCTTTTTTCGTCGGTTTGTAGTCGTAGTCGGCTGACGAGGCGGCTTGTGCCACTATGAGCACTAAACACACCTGGGGAGGAAAAGTTCCTTTTAAACAGTTAGTGACCGAGGAGGCCCTGCATGCACAAACAGGAGTTAGTTTGGTAGTGTCGTTAGTTTGTTACGTTTAGTTAAGGGGGTTAGTCTTACTGGGATTTTTCCATACAAGAGTCATTAGTTTTTGGGTTAATTTTCAGTTAGTCTGATTAGGGATTAGTTGAAACCGGGTCCTCGTCCTGAACTAGTTTGCTTTGTTTGGGAGATTGGCAATCTGTTGAGAAAATTGCTAAATTATTCACGCTTTCGCTGGAGTAAAGAGAGAATATTAGTGCCTCTAGATCACTGTACTGCATGCAAAGAAATGCTTTAATTATTTCACGCGATTATCCACCGGAAACGGAAAAACAGTGTTTTGAACACTTTGATGAAAATCCCCTCGATTTTCTGCTACACTCTTACCATTTTGCTACAGTTGTATAAATAGAATAAGAAAATAGAAGCTACAACACCGGGTTACCACCAAAAGAAGAAAAGTCAAATCCAATCGTGCAGGCAGGAACGAAAAGACAAAATGAACAACTAGGTGCACTCCAAAAGAAGGTCACTAACCTCAAGAACTATGCTTCTTCTATGCAGAAGCATCTTCGTGGATAGACAAAACACAAAAATTGCATTTGACACCCACGAATTGTGTTATATACAAGTCCCACCACTCGGGGCACGTAACCAAGAAAGTCTTGTTCTGCTAATTTTTGAATAATCGAAATTTCTTAAATCTGCAACGAACTGAAGCGAAGATTGGAATTGACTGGGCCGTGAAAAAGTCCACTTTTTGCTGAATGTTAAGTCATTTTGCTATAGACCAGGCATAATTCCATAATGGATTTATTTAAATCGTTTGTTATAAACTTTTGAGTTTTAGTCAATTATTTTTGCAGGCAATTTTAAAATCGCCCTGCGACCCGTTAAACCCTCCACATCTTCAGGCAATTGCTGTTTTTCCGAACTAGTCAAAGACATTTTTTAGAAAAATCATCCATTCCCTTCCAGCGGGTTTATCAGGCACCCAAAATCTCCTAGTCTATGACAATTAATTTATTCCAAATCCGGAGATATTCGAACAAATAAAGCGCAAAGGTATGAACCGATCGTTAGATAATAATTGCATTATGCTTTTTTTCCTGACTTTAATAAAGTGATCTAATTAGCTGCTTTGTACATAGTTAGTTCTGCTGCTATGTCCAACTGGACGATGAATTGAAAAATCAACCGAACAAATTATCACATTTTCTACGGAATGGTTTACTGTTTGCAGATGTGATTGAACGTTTCCCAATTATTTGATTGTTTATCCAAAGAGTTATTCTTTTGCGGTAATTTCATTTTGCCAATGGACAAGTGATCAGTTTTTCGGGCTGTCAGGACGCCGTGGAAACGCATTTCTGAGCATGAGTGGTTGGCATCTTCAGGAGTGTGTTTGAGTGTCAGGAATAAATTCCTATCTACTGCGTCCTTAAAACTCAAAACACTCACCAGTTTCTATTTTTTCACAACACTTCTTTTTGGTTAGACTTAAATTGATTTCCAATCAAAGGGGATGCACACTTGTATTATGTATCGTACACACTATAATACAAGTTTGCATCCCCTTTGATGGGATTTTCGTCAGTGTGTACACACCCGCTTCCTTCTTTTTTAAACTGATTTGTCTGACTTTCAACAGGAATTTTTCGAAATATTCGTCATTGCTTCCAATAATTTCGTTTTCAACTGTTTCTTTCGCTTAATATGTTTTTGTATTCTAATTTTCTTCAGATAGTTGTCACTATTCTTTGATATATTTTATATATAAACCAACACGTTCAAGAACGGTGCGCTTGGTCTACCCCATATTAGGGAGTTTTTAGGCCCCTTAATTGCAACACGTTTTACGTTATCCGTAAGAAATAACCGTTTACGCTATTAGAGGATAAGGTGTTCCTTTATTTAGGTACGAGTAGCGGTAACTTTAATAAGCATCACGTTAAAAAGCAGAACGACGGTGTTGATATATTTGACTTATTTCTAAAATTATTAATAAAATAAGAAATCTTTGTAAATTTAAATAAGACTTTCTCATTGATTAGTTTACGCCATTATTGCGTAATTACGGATTTTAAGTGAAAATTGCTTAGGCAAATTTGAACTTGGGCAACGCTACTATCGCAAGCACAGGTTCTAACTTCTAACCCATAACCTAACTATTTGATTTTGAATTTTTATTTAATATGTTCGGAATTTGTTCGTTCTGAAACCTAAAATTGATAAGGCAATCTCTGGGCTCAATATTTTCTAAATTAAAAATAGTTAGATAAAGGCAGCTTCAATGTTTTCTTCCGTCTTAGCCACTTTTTGTTTAATAATAATACAAACTTAAACTAGTTTTGAAACTTTTCCAAACAAAACGGGATCAGAAAAGTGAGGTTTATTTTACTAAGAGTGCAACAAACGCGGTATCAAAAATTAAAAAACGCACTTAACCTTATTTGCCTGAACACCTTATTTTTTAACACTGCGCATGATGACAATAACGTTTAGCGTTTAAGGCCAACGTAATTTTAAGGGGCCTAAAAACTCTCTAATATCTCATTATCTTTGCTCTTAAGAGTGAGCAACGTGATAAGCGATTTTAGGTAAATTTTGAAACATTTTCGCTGATATCACGGAAACAATTGAAAATATCGGAATATTTTTTAGAACCGTCCTAAACATTTTTTGGGAAAACCTAAAAAGTTAACGCAGTTTATATCTGGCAAACCAATGAAAAATGTATTACACAATTTGAGAGTCGTTTTGATAGGGCGTTTCGAAAGAATTATCTTCCTCCTCAGGCGGCATTCCACACGAAAATATATAAATTCATATTCGGCGAATTTTTAAACATTTTCTCTGATATCTCGGAAACGATTGAAAATTTTGGAATAGCGTTTAGAACCTTTTCCACAGAAAGTTTCGAGAGTTATTTTCCCCAATTAGGTTTTAGGTTTAGGTTACTTAAGTTAGTAGCAAAAATATGAAATAATAAAGTAGTTTTTTCGATAGTGTTTTCTAAATAAAGAGTTTCGAGAGGTAAAAGACTGGTTCAACTTCACTTTTAACAAATTTGCGTACGGGGTTTTTGGCATTTTGTATACTTTGATTGGACTTATTTGATCAGAAAACTCTTTCAAACCTTGACTAATTTCTTCGCATATTTGCGCCCGTTAAATCTGAGATACTTTGTAAATATTGACCGACCATCTACCAACTTTATGATATATTTTATAGCACTATAAACCGAATGTTGTATGTTTCCGGAACAAGAAAATGAAAGTTTGCGAACGAATGAATGTATGCAGAAGTCCTTAAAAGAATGTTTAAATTCCCACTACAGTGAACAATGTAAATGGGTTTTGAGTAAAAAAACTGTGGTGGACTATGCCAGTGGAAACCACATTCTAAGGTCAATGTCTCATGAAACAGTCGTAATATGTGGTTGATCAAGTAAACGAACTAGATAGCCTTCAGGCTGTCCATGCCATGTCAAAGGTTAAAGTTAAAACTACCAGATGGATTATTAGATAGAGGAAACCATTTTTTTTGGATCCACATGAACTTTTTGGAATGTTCCCCATATTGGACGTATTTAGAGGATTAATGGGTTTTAAATGGGCAATATTTTCAAACATAATGGATGAGCTGGTAACCGCAACCTATGATCGTTTCGGAATGAAAGTAGCTGAAGAAACAGGTCTGCGCTCTGTTGGAATCTCATTCTTGAGCGGATGCTGCACCTGTCCGTGTCTTCCGTTGGCCCCCCGGGCCCCCACCGTGAACCTAAACAAAAAAACCGACTTCTTTTACCTACCTGGTCCCCCTACCTATCAAGCGCGCTCAGTACCAGTGTGTGCCGCGAAACTTCACGATTTTAACACTATGAAAATCGCTGTGTTTTTGGTGAGTTTTTTCTTTGTGATACTTAAAGAGTTTATCTTTGGTTCGTTTCTCGCACCGGTTTTTCGCTCAATTTGTCTCCTGCACATTTTCATACCGCCTTCCACGAATGGTTCTTGTCGATTTCGCCTCAAGTGATGTTGTTTTGCTTCGGACTGGTTCACTGTTTTATTAAACCTTATACTTTCAGCTCCTAGCAAGCTTTTTAATTTTCAATTTAGTTCTAATTTTAATCAGTTCACTGTTTTCTGTGTGTTTTTTTGGTAAATTTGCAGCTTTATCTTAATTTCCGGGTTGTACTTGTTACAGCTTTCGGGGGCCAAACAACCAAGTTCAATCGAAATTTAGCCTCCGGCACTATTGCTTGTTTGATTATTACCAATTTTCATGCACCATTGAGTAAGTAGTTGGTCTAATTTTCTTTGAATTTTCGTAAAATTTTGAAAAAAGCTCATTTAATACTAATAATAACAATTTTTTAATTGACCAAGTTCAGTTGCTTAACGCGTACGCATTGTTGCCTTCAGCACTGAAAACTGCATATTTGTTCTTGTAAACACCTTTTGAAAACAAGTTATAATATGCTTTAAAAACACACCAAGTCGTTTGTTGGGCAAATTATCATTTGCTTTGTTGTCTGAGAACTCAGAAACTATTATGAAAGTTTTCTGTTGAATTTCCAGGTCTGAAATCGATAGGAAAAATAACATAATTGTGTTTTGGAGTGTTTTGGCCACCACATCCTGTTTTCGTGGTCCAAATCGCTCAATTTAATTCGGTTTTCGTCAAATTCTGTCGCAAAGCGACATTAACCAATCGAAATTTTGCATGATTCGCGAAAAATCGCTATGTGTACAAGCAAATGTGTACCAATAAGTAATGTAACGTGACCATTTGCTTAATTTCGCAGGTTTGTTGGCAAAATTCTCTTTGGCAACGTGTTTCGCTAATCCCGTGATTTTGCTTGGTCTCTTTACCAGATTTGACTTAAAACCGTATTTCGCCGCTTATCTATGGTATGGAGACTATGAGGCAAGTGCGCAAAAAACCTATTCGGTGTGCTTGATGGCAAAAAGCGAAAGACTGAACAGAGAATCTGAAGAAAGAAAATGAAAGAAAAATTCCAGTGTTCTATAAAACGGAGAAAAAATTCGGTCTAAGAACGTGCCAACAAGTCAAGACGAAATAAGAACAACTGTCCGCCTGACCATTGAACAAAAAATAGAAAACAGCGGTTTTTAATGTTTTTTTTTGCAGCTTGTGGGCATTTCTTCTACACTCATCGTCCTGTCGTCTGCCCATCCTGGTCGGTCACATGACGATGAGAAGCATTCGGAGCATCATTCGCAGGAGTCGGGATCGAAAAAAGGCGGAAAACATGTGGCAGGTATGATCTGATAAACTTTGAAAACAAATATTGATTCTCCATTCAACTATCCATCTTCATAGGAAAAGTTATTCCATTCATTAATTAAAACGCTTTCCACAAGGTCAGCCATTGTTTAATCATTTGTTCGATTGACGCCTATGTGAGTGGTTTATTAATCGTCAAAGTTTCTAATCGATTCTATGTAAGTTTGCAGAATTATTGTTGTTTATTTCACTGATGAGTCGACGATAGAATTACTAAGGCGACAGATGTGTTCAACTTTGAGCTTAGTTTCCAAAGACGAAAGGAAAACGTTGCATGTAAACATTAAAAATCGGGCATCGAAGTGTTTCACCTTTGATCATTTATGAGAAATGCGTCTGAGCAGCTAATGAAACTTTAAAGCATGGGTCAAAAAGGCAATTTATTCTTCTAACAGCCGATGAAAGAATCAGGTTGCCATCTCTTACGCTTTCCGAGAAACTAATTTTCAAAATACCCCTTGCAAGTGTAATTTTTTGCAAGAAAATTTAAACTGCCAGTTGACGATTGCAAATTTAATGCGGAATTGAGAAATGGGTGTAATTTGAAATACCAAAGTTGATGGCGATTGCGCTTTTATGAGACACCCTGTACACTTGAAAATTTTTTTGCAGAGTCAGATTGCAAATTTGAGAAAACAAAGTCTTTTACCTTCCGCCCACCTCTAGCTGTTTGGACGTAATGAAGCTTTTTAATACTAATTCCAAATCAAATTTATTCCTGGGTTTCAGTCATTTATTGTCTCTATTTATTAATCAAAATAGGTTTCGGTGTGTTTTTCCACCATCATCAGTTTTTATGTGTAGCGTTGTTGCTGCTTTAAGCCATGGCATGCATTTTTTGCCGGGCAAGAAAATGAAAAAGAAACCCAGGAATAAATTTGATTTGGAATTGGAACACAGTCAGGAAAGTATATACAATGTTTAATACTAATGCGACACTGCAGAAAATCCGATTAAAATACGATTTGAGAATCGTATTTATTTATAAATTTGGCTCCATAAAATATTCTCTTTCTGACGTTTCGCAAGCACGAGTGGTTTGCATCTTCAGAGGTGTGCCTCAGCTTCAAAAAGTCAAGAGATCAGTGAGCTTTTAGGTCGTTTAGGCCGAAAATATCACCGGACACTAAATTCCTCATCAGACTTCCACAGTAACTGAAGCTACTCTGAATATGCGCACCGCTCGTGCTTGCGAAACGTCAGGAGGACGTCTTAAAAGTCCGAAAAACTCACCGGTTTCATCGTAAATGTGTCGATTGATTTAATTTTGTCGATACCAAAAGGGTGTTTTTTGAATCTCTAGCACGAAAATATACGGCAGAATGTGCATATTCACAAAAACCCAATTTGCGATTTGAGAATTTCGCAGAACAATAAAATTTAAATATTGAACAATTCCAGGTGATACCTATGAAGAAGGTGGCGGTGGCGACTCTTCCTACCACTCGGGCAAACATGACCGAGAATCGGGAAGATACGGTTCGGATGGAAACGAATCGCATGGGGTGGAAGATGAAGAACAGGCCGGGAAGAACCACAAGCATTATCATGCTGACAAGCATGAATCGTTCCACAAGAGCGGCGGAGAGAGCGCGCATGGAGCGAAGTATGAAGAAGCCTCCAACCGGCACAAGGGCAACTACAAGAAGGTTTTGCAAGCGCTTAATGTGCGAGTTTCTTTTTAATTCGGTAATCTCAGGGCTACAAGGACAAGTTTCACAAGGATGAGCTGATGCGGCACAACAGCTTTTTCAACAAAGGCGAGAAGACCGGGAGTTACGAGATCTTCGGCAAGAAGGGCACCAAGTTTGATAAGCAGTCGGTTTCGAAAAAGTCCGGCGGAACTAAAAAGGTAAGTACCCAAAAAGATAATCTAGATATGCTAGGGGTAATTTAGTCAAGACAGGTCTTGATGAAAATCAAAGCAAATACTGCCAGAAAAATGCCCAGAGAGCAGCTTTCTATGGATGTGCACTTTGGCAATTTCTTACCATCGTTTGTTCCTAGAATGTTAAATCGGAAAAGAAGCATGGAAAGAGCGACCAAAAGCATAGAGGTCATAACCGAGGGGATAGGAAGGGATACAAGAGCGCCAAATCCACTAAACATCACTATTCCAACGGTGATAGCTATGGGAAAAAGGGGGCCAAAAAGGGCGGAAAGCACTACCAATACTTTCACTAACCTCGAGCAATTGGGAGCCAAAAAATTCTTATCTTTCGCTTTAGCATTCCCCAGGTTCCAGACCAGTTGTTTTCTGTTGTATAAGTGTTTGCTTCAAAATTGTTTTTACCCGGCTAAAGTAAGTTGTAAAAACTAAGTTACGAAAGCAGAGTGAGAAGAGTCTACTTATATATTTATTACATATTATTATTATTACTGTAAACCGATGTATTTTAGCTTTAATCTGACAACGAACGACTATTCAGATTGGTTTTTGTTTCATTTTTTTCTCATATTGATCGAACATTTTTCCTTCATTATCGGTCAACTGGCACGCGTTAATGATAGACCGCGAACGGTTATTTGAAAATCATAAATCAGACGTTAGGAACGGCTATCAAAACCAATACTCTGTAAATACCCATCGGCTTTAATGGACAAGTCAAATTTAATGAACTCGTGGTAAGGATATGTGGTTTCATATTTGAGCAGTGGCAGCGGTTTATCGAGAAAACCCCAAAGGAATCGACTGTATTTATGTTAATTAATTAATTTATTGTTCCTCTGGGTCAGATTATTATTTTTGCTCCACACTAAGAAAATTGGGTGTTTGCGAAGGACTTGACTGAACCAGAATTGGCAGCGAAAGCTGCTCAGAAAGTCGAAAGACCGAAGTGATTAGTTAGTAGTAATCTTTTCTTGGATTGTTGGATGCCTTCCGATTACACTGCTACGTCAATGAGCATTTAAAATTAATAATTCAGGATTCCGTGATTCGCAGGTATCTTACCGAAGGAAAATCGGTTGAAATTTTCATGATGTCCACAAATGCAGGTGACGCGTCAGTTAGAGCACACACGAAAGCTCTGTTTAGAGCTTTGATTTAGGGGCCGAATTATTTGACATGCACCATGCATGTGCTGGGGCTGTTTGGAGCCGTTGCATGCGTTTTGAGTGTCCGAGGCCAACAGTTCAAGATTGGTAAGTAGTGAAATTGATTTAATTGAAAAAAATGGGTAACCCTTTTTTTGTCCAATTGTTTTTGCGTTAAATTGGACCTACACTGCTTAGTTCTCTACGGGTGAATAGCTCAAGTTTTTGGGCAAATTGTGCGTAAAAATTGGCGAAAATTTTCAATTGAGTTTGTTGTGCAAAGGTAAGTGAAAAATGACAAAAATCACGGTTTTTTAAACGTAGGTACATATTTATTAACAAGAAATTGCTTTATTCGAGCACTAATTCAAACTCATCGGCCCTATACCGTCTTCTTTTCAAGTAAATATAAAACCTGTAGGTCGCTATGCCTGTTAGCACAGCACTAAAACTAACCACTAGGAAAACTCCAAAACTATACAAAACGCTGTTTCCTCTGGGCTTCGCTTCCGCTGCAATCGGCAGGTTTTTCGCTTCGGGCTTGCACGGGATGCCAGCCACGTTTTGGTTGAGATTCTCCAAATGTTCGCTGCTCGTGTAGACGATGTGCTTTTGCTTCAAAAAATTGATAATCTTCCCCAAGTCTTCGCAGGTCAGCTGGTTGGACTTGATGTTTATGTTGCTGAGTCTTGGTAAGTTTGATAGAATCACATCGTATTCGATGTGCAGTAGTTTGTTGGAGCCCACATCCAGAGTCCGCAGGTTCTCCAAGGGCTTCATCACTGGGTATGAAAGAGACTCGATGGAGTTTTTCGATAAATTCAAAGTTTCCAAGTCCACCAGATCGGCGAAAGTGTCGAGTTGTAGGTGGCTGAGCCGGTTCGCTGATAGATCCAGAGCTCTAAGCCTTTTCAGCCCTTGGAGAGTTGCTACTGATAGTTCAGTGATAGAATTGTTGTTCAAATACAGATAACTCAGTGTGGAGAGATTTGTAAATATCGCTCTGTTTTGGCGCAAGTTCAAGTGATTGCCAGCCAAGTCCAGGAAAGCGAGTTTAGGAACATCATGGAGCGATTCGTTGGTGAGGGTTTCCAGTTGGTTGCCGGCCAAGTTTAGAGTGGTTAATCCGGATAAATTTCCAATTGAAACCGCTGTTATCTTGTTGTGCTTCAAATCCAAGTACTGCAGTTGAGAGAGGCCGGAAATCTCAAATGCCTCCAAATTGTTATGGGATAAATCCACTTCACTCAATTGCTTCTGGCCGGAAAGTGTTTTGGCATCAAAAGCCCTCAGCTGGTTATGCGTGAAGTTCAATTTCTGAAGCATGTAAAGCTGCTTCAAGCTCAGACTGCTTACGCTAACCATGTTGTTGAAGCCCACGTTTAATACTCTGAGTTTCTGAAGATTTTCTAGGGAATTCGCTAAGTCTACTATTTGGTTGAAGCTTAAATCTAACTCTACTAAGTCATAAGACGTAGATCTAATACTGATGTACGATAAGGGGGGTTTATTTGGTTGAATATTCACGCTGTTTGCATTGGTTTCTAGTGGTTTGGCATGTTTGGAGCAGAAGAAGTAAAAGGTTGTCAGGCTTTTCAGCAAGTTTCGCCTCAGGTTGAGGTATTTCAACTTCCTGAGGTCGCACAGTTGAAGATCCGCAATCGTTTTCACGTGGTTGTCCGTTAAGGACAGGCGTTCTAGGTTGGTTAGGTGTTTGAGACCGTCTTGGTTGATTGCGCTAATTCCATTGTTGCTCAGCTCCAGTCGCTTCAACTTGTCCAGCCCTTGAAGGGTGTTATTTCCGATTTGGAAGGGCACATCTTGGATTATCAGCGTCTCCAGCTTCTCGAGCTTCTCGAAAATTGCCAATTTTCCATCAAACACCACAGTGGAGTTGAAGAGGTTCAAAATCTTAATATTGCGCACGTTTTTGAAAATATTCGAGCTAATTCCATCTAGCACCGAATTGCTCACGGTTAAGGAAATTTCGTTGTTGATGGTGATGTTTTCGAGAATATGCTCGTAGCCTTTGGTGATTCCATTGCAGGTAACGTTGAACGAATTCTGGCCGTATTCTTCGTAGTAAGTGAAGATTTTTTCGCAGTCCAATGACCAGGTTAACGGCGGTTTTTGTAGAAGGGCCAAACAGGAAAGCAGCAGCGTTAAGGAGCCTGCAAATTAAAGAAACAGTTTTCATTGAAACATCTACTCAAGTGAAATTGCTGGTTTTTTGGGTTTCAGATCGTTTTCCAACTCCGCTAACCCAAACCACATTAATTAACAGCAACCTTGCCATTAGATTAGTCATTGTTGTTTCTTAATTTTTAATTAATATTTCTGTTTCTTTCCAAACAGTTTTCGCAACCTTGTATGCACTTTAGGCGATTATCTACGCCCTGTTGAAATAGTCTATATTTTCCATAATTACTGTAATGTTTAACGTATTCTTTAGGCGCACTTGGAAAGTTGTTGTTTGTAAGGTAGAAAATGAATCCGAATGTTTTAATTAGCGCATTTTAGGTTGTTAAGGAAGATTTATTTAACTCAAACTAACCCAGTAAGGCTAATTATTTGGCCAAACTACTCAAACTTCTATTGTCTTGAAAAAGTTCACAGGGTTTCGGGTGGGTGCAGGTGCCCGCAGACCGAAACGTTGGACTTATTAATCATCATCATCAGCACAGAGTTTTTCGTTGTTGTTGATGTTGATTAATTCTTTTTTGTTCTTTCGTTTACTTGAATGCGTTGACTGGCAGTTCAAATGTTTGCCTGTGATGGTCCAGAGGAAAAAGCATTCTACATAAGTTAAAAATAGAAAAGTAAAGTGAATTTTATAAAAAAATGTAAACCGACTAAAGTGAAATGTTTCAGTTCAGTCGTTAACAGAACACACAGAGTTTTGGCAAAAGTACAGGGTGTGCAAACAACAATTTCTTACTGGTCTGTTTTTCAGGAAGCTTTCACAGGTTCATCTTAATCTATGAAACTCTGATTCCAGCATGGTGAATAAATCTTCTGAGTATTTATGCCCATTTTTCGATCGTAAAAAGCTTGAAAACTGCTGCAGATGTTGAAATGAATAAAGTAGAAAAAATAGAAAAACATTTGCGCTGCCGCATAAACATGTGTTTTTGGTGTTACATGCTGCAGGTTAAAGTCGTTCTCTACAAGATTTCACAAATTTAGCAATGAAATAAAACAAAAAATGTGTGGAAAATGACGATTTCTTTAGGAAAAAACCACTTTTGCAAAATACATTGAATGTGAGTATTTATTCAATAAAATTAGACAGCATTAAGCTCCATTGACTGCAGGGCAAATATGCGAATGAAAAATGAGTTTTCCTGGGATTTTGCTCCAACATTTTTCAATAATGGCCCGAAAGTTTGAACAATTTTTTTCAAAAAGGACTTCTTTAGTCGTTTCGGTATCTTGAGTTGTTTCCAAATTTGCGTTTGAAAATTACGGGATAAAATTAGACGGCGTTGAACGCTATTTGTGCTGCAATATGCGAATGAAAAACGAACCCAATTTTTTTGCAACATTTTCCAATATTGGTATAAAAATTCGAACATTTTTCCGCGAAAAAAACATCCTTATTCATTTCAATATCTTGAGCGGCTTCCAAGCTACTTCCGATTGAAAATTTTGCACCTTTGAAGAACTTTTTTGCCAAAAACAGCTTTTCCTCAAAAATAATGTTGATTGCCCAATTTATATTTGCGTTTTTGCTCTCATTTATTTGAAACCGTGTTTTCAAGTGTTTGAGTTTCCTTATTTATACAAAACTCTGGTTATTTTTAGCGGTAATCAATATTTTTTTAAATGCTTGAGACCAGTGGGCTTAATAAACCTCAATTAATCGAAATAGAATCGTGGATGAATTAATAAAGTTGGTACTTTTTTGCTTTGTTGCGATGCGAATTGGCTTGATATACAGTTGCAAAAACACTTATTTTTTATTATGCTGGAAGCTTTGTTGTTCTACATATAATTTAATTTAACAGACTCATAAAACGTTTTATGCGCTATGATGAATTTGATACGATATTGTTGATGTGGCAGTCTGAATAAACAAAACACTCCTTTTCAGAATGTATAATTGATTAATTATTTAAATTTAATGGCAGAATCAGATTATTGTTAATGACTCTAAAGAAATCTTGCGCTTTAAAAAACGAAAACACGTTTTGCTATGGCAATTTATGAACGTTCTTAGGGAAAGACTGTTTATCATTTCTGCATAAATACGACCTGATGTTTTCAACGTTCTGATTTACATATATATTTTTCTGAGGCAAACATTCATTTAATTTATTTTCTAACAGTTGCGTAATAAAAGTAACCACAGAAAATTCTACCGAATACTTACCAAATTTGCAACACATTCTTCTAGATTGTTTGAACTATTTGGCATTATTATCTGTCCATGATCTTGGTTTTGTAATGGGGGTTTTGCTCCATTTGTCACAAAGTTTCGTATATCTGCAACATATTTTTGCAACATTTTTTAAAGAATTAATTCAGATTTAAAATAGCAGTCAATAAATTCTGCGCGAAAATTAATCCTAAAGCCACTCATACTTTCGGAACATCAGCGAGAAATACTTTGCCACTGGGACCTAAAAACGCGAAAAACCGATCAGTTTCAAGCAAGATTGGATAGAAATTGATGAGTTTTTAGGCTTTCGGAAAAAATCTGTTTCACGCCTGGAAAACTCACCAGGTTCCACCAAAGCAGTAAGGTTTAAAAAACATTTTAATATTAATTTTAGGCAGCAAATTTTCCAAGCAAATCTGTTATCGTTTTTTAATTACCACTTAAATTAAATTTGCCATTTATTATTGGAAATGCTCCAATTAGCGTGCCATTTGCTTTATTGTACATTATGTCACCTAAAAAAGCCGTTGCAGTTTGCATTTGCTTATCAAGTAGCAACGTGTTGAGATAATGGCACATAATTTTCATTAGCCAGACAGCTGTTGCGATATCACAAAACCGTCGGTCATTGTGTTAAAGTAAAACTGTTTTTATTGCATTGTTGCAAAGCTTTATTTGACTAACTTTATTAACTTATCATCGGTTTTTGTACCGGCTAAAATATTGCTAAGGTTCTTTGAAGCAAGCGGTTTAGGCATGCTCCACTAAATTAGTGCATGTTTCTTCTGCAATAGTTTATTTCTATTATCTATTGCATTATTTACTAGATATTTTCAATGGATTTTTCCATATCTTCTCAGAGTTGATTTTGGATTAAGCCAAAACAGTAAAATAAAAAAAGCCAAAAAGAAACTGTCTATTGGAATGCGTGCCAACATTACATAAAACAATTATCTACACCAGATGGGCATCTGATTAACCAACAGCAATTAAAACATGACTTACCAAAAGAAACCGCATTAATATCGCGAAACAAAACCAGTCACTGTAAAAGTAAACGCGAGTTCGCACTGAAACAGATTATTTTGGAATCATTAACATACCAGAATAGTAATTAGTAGTTTTTTTAAATTTCCAAACAAGTTGATTATTATTAAACAGCTTTATCTTACAATGTCGAAAAAACTGCGTACTTTTAGAAAAGCTTACACTCGAACATGTTATACAAGGAGACAGTGGCAAGCTTACCAAAACGTGAAATTATTGCGTTTAATATTTTAATAGACTGCGGGCAGAATTTGAAATAACCGCAGAATTCACAATGCACTTGCTGCCGGATAGTTTCAGTGAAATGGCGCAAAAAGGAATGGACCCGATGGTCAATTCGATATCGATTCTATTGGACAAGAGACGGTTACTTGAAACAAAATGTCTAGAAGTTGTGTTAATTCGGCAGATGTACAGGTTGTCGCAAAATATGTTTTTTTGTGAGATCGATTTGTTCCTATAAGCATTGCGAAACAACAAAAGTTCATGTGTGTCTCGGTAGAAAAGTTTCCAGACCTTTTTACACTTGGGAGCTGGAATTGTTTCTAGTGTGATGAGACTCATATTTTTGTGAAGATTTTGCGTACGTCCGCTTTGGGCAAATAGAAAATTCTGGTCTGAATTGAATCTCATTGTGTTTGATTAACACGCCCAGATGAAGAGAAGCATGTGCTGAGGAAATACATAATTCTCCATTGAAACTGGATGGCAAAAGTCCAAAAAATTACCGTTTCTGAAATGTTTTCTGAAATCGATTCCTTATACGAAGAACGTTAGGTGTTCCATTTTGATCATGTGCTTTGATTCATTTTCAATGACTAGAAAAATTAAAGAACTAAGCGCAACTTAAATCCAGTGAACATTAACAAGCACAATTAAACTGGAAATTTTCGCAGGAAAAAGTGGAAATTTCCCCATTGCAAAGTCGATAGCGCGGCTCATTTCTATCGACCACCGCTCTGACCAGACCCGATTCCTAGTGATTTTATTTTAATTTATCCGACTTAAACAATACGGCGTCTTTGTTTTGTTGTTGCAGTGTAAATAGCTTTTTACACTGTATGTATTGTACTTATTGTACATTATCTGTGTATTGTATTTATTAGCATCGTTTAGCACAGTTTGTTTAGGTAATTTCCAGTCAGTTTCACATGGGTTTTTCTACTCCAATTCAAACTAAATCGGCAAAACCAGTATACAGAGAAGAGCAAATTAAAATTTCTAAACTTTATTGCTTGGAAAACTTTTCTAGGCCTGCTGAGGGTCATTTAGCAATGACTAAAGAGGCATTTGTAAAACGACTAGGTATACAAATTGGAATAGTGCACTTTAGGTCACTTGCTGCATTCAATCAACCTGCAAGGTTTTTCCATTCACTTTTTGACCTGCCAGGTAAATCGTTCGCGCAACAGTTGCACCTGTTTGCGCTATAAACGAAAAATCTGCAAAAGCAGAGTTTGAACGCAGAAAAAACGAGTTTTATCGGGCTTTTTGAGACTAATAATTAAGCTTTACGTTGATAAACAGTGAACTCACGTGTTTGTTAGTATTTTCGCCTGTGATTCAGCATGATCGGTTTCATATTAAATGTGAAACTTTCCCCATTCTGTAGCCTATTTACATTCAATGAAAATGTGCGTTTTTTCTTTAACAGAAACGCATTTTTATTGTGTAAAGTTTTAATTGAAACCGCATTCAATTGGAGAGAATTGAACCGCAACTATGTCTATTCAATTTCCGGCCTAAGTATAGAATTTATAGACCAGGACTTTTTCAAAGAGCTTATCGGGAAAGTTGTCTTTTATGTTATATTTAAATCCGTTTAAATTGATGACAAACTTTTTAAAATGGTGAAAAAAACCGAGGGGGAATTTCGCAATAAAGCCACAGTGATTTTTTGCAAGGGTGAAATTTAAATTGTGCCTAAACTGAAAGAAAAATTTAAAAACGACGAAACATAAAAAGTGAAAGGAAACTCTCAAAATCGGAGACAAATTTAATGCAAGTGTAATTGAAAACAATATTTAAACCCGAAATGCTATTGAGCACTGGGGCAGCTCGAATACTGTAACCTGCAACGATTCGACTTTTATTTTTTTACTCAAAAACTGACTGAAAGACTGTTGCGCTCCCTAATTGATCATAAAAATGGAAACAAATGTTTACTTTGAAAAAAATCAGGCGCGTATATTTTTTTGAATTAAAAACATTTTATATATTTTAATATGCTATGAGCACTTAACACCTGAAATCCCGCAACGGATTGACTTTTTTTGCTCGAAAACGGGACGAGGCACAAAAAATGTCAGGAGAGGTTTCCTCTTCCAAATTGATCAGTGAGTGATTGGGAATAAAATGTTTCCTTTGTAGAAATCAGTCGCGTACAACTTTTTTTTAGAAACTTTTTATGCATATGACCACTTGGCAACTCATTTACTGCAACGGTTTTAATTTTATTTTTTTACCCGAAAACGTCGAGGCACAAAAACTGTATAGTTGATAATGAAATCGGAACCTAATTTTTAATTAATCCGGACACAAAGAATGTCTTGATGGAATTAAAAATTAAAAAAAAAAAGTGATAAATTGAACATCAAAAAGAGAACACGGTGACAATCGAGTGCAAAGACTCACAGCACAAGCAACTGGTGGTGAGAGATGGTAAAAATGCAAGAAAACCCTTCGGAGCCGATGGAAGCAGCAACAAAATGCTGAAAACTTGCCCAGTGAAGGAAGTGCAGCTCTGCCCAAGGGAGAAAATGCGGTCAAGAGGGTTACATTTTTACCACGAGCGCGGAAAAACTCATTTTTTTGCATCAAAAAAGTTCCTAAAAAAATTCTTCGGACCCTCGCTACTAAAATTTAAGCCCGTAAGAAGCGGCCCTAGAAGGCGGTTTTTATTAAATAACTTTTAAAGTACTTGGTATAATTTGATCATTTTTTAATAGTATGGAATTTTATGAAATGTTAAGGCCGCCTTAGAACAGTGTCTTTAAACTCACACTGAAAGCTTAGAAAAATCTACTTCTGCTTGACATCGATAAGATAAAGCGCTTTTCTAAAAACGTTTTTATTTAGATACATTTTTAATTAAATTAAACCTTTTTTGCAATCGAAATGAAAAATTGATAATCTTTTGTATAACAATTGTTCAAATAAAAATTCCCGCTTACGATGTAAACCAACAAACAAAGAAAACACATTTAAGGTTTCAAGACAGCAAAGACCTAAAAGAGTGTAATTTTTACCAATTATGAGTTTGTATGAATTTTAAATCTGATGATGGCACTGTTGTCTCGCCGAAACGTTATTAAAATATTTCACACTTTCACTGAAACCCAGGAAGGAAAAGAATATAGTAAAAATCTAATGGATAAAAGTCGGGAGAACGGGGAGGTCAAGCCCTCTCCGGATCAGGTGATGTGGAGAAACATTGTTTAAATGATCTCGTACAAGGTAAAATGAGAAGGTCGTGCATGTTTCTTCTTGTCTCTAGTCAATCTTCTAAATTATTTTGAAAGAACTGCAAATAATAAAGTTGTCCATTCAGCCGTGGTGGCAATGCAAATGGAACTATAAAAAATTCCCAACGATTCCGGCCCAGACATTAATGCAAAAAATTAGTGTTCATACGGTTCAAGAATCATAGAATGAGGTTTGAGCACATTTATGCACTTTGCGTAGGTGGTAGAGGTGCAAAATTTGTTCTTTAAGTACCTACAAGAAATATTGTTGTTTTTAATGCACGTAACTGTATTCAATATGTTCTCCTCTAATTGAGGCGTTCTGGTCGTTCTTTGCAAACCTGCATCATTTATCTTTTTGCAAACGTTCCTAAAGTATCAAAAACCCGACATTCTTCGCGTTATTTTTCACATTCGAACCGAAAATAGGGCGAAAAGCTGTTTCTTCATTCGTCGATGACTTTCAGTGACGCTCCATCAACCAGACCAAGCAGCCGAAGTGAAATACTTTGAAAACGCTTTTCTGAAGGTGAACAAAGATGAGGAAATTGCCTTCCTTGATGTGCTGTTGAATGAAGATGAAAGCGGCCACTATAAGCAGATTTGCGACGCCCTTTCCACAGGTTTCAGCCTCATCCTTGACTTTGCCTGGTCCGGAACCGAAGTGGCTCAAGATCTGACCAGCAACATGAGCCTGCCGTATTTGCACGTTGATGTTTCCGTAGCTCCATTCTTGGTCCTGTTGGACTCTTATTTAGATAGCAGGAATTCGACGGATGTTGTGGTGGTTTTCGATAAGGAGGAATGTGAGTTTTCGACAAAACTTTGAAGAAACTTGGGTGGTTTTGTTGGGGGTTTCAGATATCGACCAATCGCTGTATTACTGGTTGGACTCGGTGCGACTAAGGCTGGTGATGGCTGATGCCTTGAATCGATCCACGGCCAGTAAGATTGAGAGCATTCGTCCAATTCCTCATAGTTTTGCCATTGTTGCATCCGCAAAGAACATGAACAAACTGGTTTCGCAGGTTCGATAAGTTCTGGTCGCTCAATGTGGATTTACGGCTTGACTCATCGACTTCTTAGGCACTGAACGAGGATCTTATGTCGCTCTCAGATCGTTGGAACTTAGTTTTCACCGACTTTGAAACCGGAATTTTCGACAAGAGCCTGTTCCAAAACCAAACGCCTTCGCTCATGTACTTGAAGCCGGAGCTTTGCTTGGATCTTTCCATTCAGAGCCGTTGTCCGTCCAATTTCGTCCTCAATGAGCAGTTTCTCTATTGGCTGGCCTGGGGCTTAAGCCGGCTGGCCAAAATGGCTGCAGAGGAAAGTCTGGAGTTTCCGGAAAAGGAGTTTCAGTGTGGAAAAACGACTTTTTCTGAAGACACCAAAGAGCGTCTGGGTGACATGTTGGATTCGATAATAGCCGATAATTCCAATGTGCTGAGCCTGACTGGGCGGAGCGTGAAAGTTTCTGTCAGAGGAAATGTGGAGAAGATGATTAATGGGAGTTTTCAGGTAAGGATAGGGACAGAAGATTTTTATTTTGTTGGGGTTTCTTCGAAACTGGAATGGATTTTTTATGAGTTTCTATTTAAGTTTTCTCAAGCAGAGATTTAAAGTTAGGCGGACCCAGACTGCGCGTTAGACACGGTGACTCAGGAGATTGGAACATTTTCATGGTTGTATCTGAGAAGGCAAAAAAAGCTAAATAAATTCTCATTTCTTCGAATGATTTTTTGAATTTTTGTGATTTAATATCAATCAACTTGTCCAGAAATAGAACCCAGTTTTACAAATTTTTGCAGCCAATTTCTCGAAATAATATTAAAAACAAGTCAATTAATTTGGAATGTAATTGGAAGGCTCTCAAGCATAAACCACGAACCGGTGTTGTTTACCAATAATTTGTTAATTAAAAAAACGATAAAAATAGCCAAATATACCGTTTCATTTCAACGATCAATTAGCGGTCCATATCAATAATTGCGCTGAATTTAAGTCTGTTTTTTTATTTAATTTATTTTTCATTTTATTGATGTCTTTAATTTCCCCTGCGTTGAGGTTCCCGTTAAATTTTCACTGCTTTCAGACAATTGCGCAGTATACAAACGGAAAACTCACTCCCGAGCCTGGAAAGCAAATTGACCCCATTAGGGCTTTTTACAGAATAGGAATTACTCATGTAAGTTACATGGAAAACATCTTGATTTTCCAAAATTTGGACAAACTTTTATTGCTTTATTAAACTGCTTTGTTCTGTAGAAAATTAAGAAGAAAAAAGAGTTAAAATGGAAATTAAGAAAATAAAGGAACATTTGAATTTAAACAGCGAGCAACATGAAAAATTCTCAACTAAAAAATGTTGCTGAAAACCACTTTTTTTGAAGAACATGCAGTTCCTTGATTGTTGATCAAAACAGTATGAAACTCTTTGAAACATGTTTTTTTTCGCTGTTAAGCTACAAATATTTGCTCCCAAATTTCGGTGAATTGAAGCTATTTTTGTGTGATTTTTCAGGCGATTCCTTGGTCGTTTAAGGTACAGAATCCGCAAACTGGCGAATTCTACTGGACAGGATATTGCGCCGATTTCGCGCAGAAAATTTCGGAAGTCATGAACTTTGACTATGTGTTTGTGGAACCGGCAACTGGAACTTTTGGGGAAAAAGTGAATGGCACTTGGGATGGTATAGTGGGAGATTTGGCCGTTGGGGTACGAATTTTATCGCGGCATTTCTTGTGTAATTTTTCGCTTTATTTAGGAAACTGATATTGCCATTACGGCGGTCATTATGACGGCCGATAAGGAAGAAGTCATCGACTTTGTGGCTCCATATTACGAGCAAACAGGAATAACTATAGGTGGGATGTTTTTGGGCGACTCCCAACCTAATTGCTCATTAACTGTCTTTTAGTGATGAGGAAGCCAGTCCGGAAGACCTCACTGTTCAAATTCATGACCGTTCTGAAGCTGGAAGTTTGGCTCAGTATAGTCGGGGCTCTGATCGTTACTGGTTTCATGATATGGTTTCTAGACAAATATTCCCCATACAGTGCCAGGAATAACCGAAAAGCCTATCCATATCCATGCAGGTAGTGTTAAGGAAAATTGTTCTCATCTACAGGGTTATTCACGCTATACGGCACGGAAGTTTGCGGCTAAACCGTTTTATTTTTTAAAAGTATTATTTTATGAATTGCCCGACGCCTACCGAGCGCACATTTAAAAAATATTTTTGTAATGTACAGGGTGTCCCAAAGGCTCTAAAGGCATCAAAGTTGCGTTTTTTTAAATGGAATGTTCTGTATATTATTGCATTTTTGGATTCGCTGAACAAAATAAGTGTCTGTTTTACTAAGGTTTATAATACCTAAATCTTAAGGTTTTTTAAATAATACGAATTTGATCAAAATCTAATCTAATTTTCACGTGTCAAATACTTTAGAAGCATTTAAGTTATGTAAGCGTAATTTATAGTGAAGTGCAACAAAATATAATGCTTTATATCCCAATGATAATAAAGTTAC